CGAGTTGTCAACCTCATCACGAGTGCCGTTTGAGCTTACGACGCCGCATTCTTCAGGACGTGAGCACGAATTCAGTAGATTTAGCCACTGAAGTTGTTGGGAGGTCAGCTCGACTGCCACGAGTGCTTTTGTGGCAGTCAACGATTTTGCCTCTAGAAGTGGCACCTCCGACGTCGATGGTGCGAGTGAACCCGGCAGATTCTTCTGATTCGTCTGACCGTTCACGACCGTCGTATTGTCCGTTTCATGGTGGACCGTTGTACTCAGTGACTGGTCAGCACTCGCCAAGGTAACATTTGTCACGTTTTGGGAGCAGCTGAGGCACGTCGAGGTTTGGTGATCGATATCGGTGTTATTGCCTTTCCCGTCTGCATGGCCATTCGAACGCAAACAGGCGATGACGATGAGCAAAAGTGAAACCCGGCAGAGGTGTACGATGCTCATAGCCGTTGTTCGTCAGAAGTAGCGGGCCGGATCATAAGATTACTAGGTAACAGGGAGGAAAAACCTCAAGCAGCCGCGCAACTCTAATTTCTGTTGCGTTGCGTTCGTCGCTGCGTGATGCTCAGAACAAAAGCAGAGCAGCTTTGCAATTCCAGCCGGTCGCCCGATCAGAAGAGCTGAAACAGCACTGTTCGCTAGGCAGCTGCCCACTTAGTAAAGTTGACCGTTTTCACTTTTTACTCTTCATGTGTTTGACTAATGACTCGGTGCAAAATGGAAGTCGGCGTTGAAAGTGAGAGCAAGACGAAAAATAGTTCACACAACTGTGTCCAAAGTTAATATGCGGATTTCACGTCATACTTTGTTTACGCTAAAAACGGAGCGCTTTAACAAGTGTTTAAAAGCAATGTCGGCTAATTTATGGCTGACAATGCATGGAGGACGAGGAGCGAACTGCAGTCGCTTCTTGACTCATCACGGAGTTTACTGCTGATGCTATCATCTTTAATAGATGTACATTTTAATGATTGATTGGAACGTTTTCAAAGATGCTGAATAGAAGAATTCTACATACGACTAGGTGAACGGTCCTTATTATAGCACTTCCGAGTTGAAGAATGATTCTAATGGCAATTTTACATTCAAACTTATATTCAAGAGCTTATAGAAGAGAACAGCAGGAAGATCGATTGGTTGCTAAAATACTTCACCACCACTTGAGCCATTGTCCTTTAAAGCTGAGGTTATAAGAATAAAAGTAATGATATAAATGATTCGTTGTGAGTAATAAACAAAATTAACCATTATTCAGTAATAATAGTGCATTAATATTGAAATAGCATGCCTATTCGATAATATAGTTTCTGGACGAAAACTGAATAGTTTGGAGGGCTCGCTGGTGATCATACTTGACAATTGTACAAAGACACGGTTTCTTCATACACAATGCAGATAACTTGTTCAGTCACTCGATTAACCAGTGTCATCGTTTTGGCTCATGTGTGGTCTTTCTGCAACGTAGACAGCGCTGATTCGCGTAGTTAGTTTTGTAATCCAGAGCTGTTGTAATTTTTTGATCCAGAAGAGTGATTTCTGGTTAAGTAGTTTTTCGGCAACTCGAGCAACAAGGCATATCCAATCCGTACGAACTTCGTATCCCAATAAACGTTTTCGCAGTACTGAATGATTAATGCCTTCTTTACAAGGCTGTGCAGCCAGTGTCTCTCTGACAATGCCGGTACACTCTCAGCGACGATGGCGGTGTCCTTCCTATAACGGGTTTTACGCATTCATGGAGGTTTTTTGGCGTTGTTTTTGACCTGATTAGGGACGAGGCTTTGTTTTCTTCCCGGATACTGTGTAACCGCGTGTCGTCTACTCTACCACCATAATCCATCTTCTGCTTGACAGGTGCCTTTGTTTCTTGACTGACGGTGTTCCATGTTTCTCTTACATAACACTTAGAACTGGGCCAAATTTATTCCTTAAAGTGTTTTTTCACATTATATTGGTGTTAGAACTTTAATTGAAGTAAACTATTCTGTGGTTCATGATATTAGTAACGAACTTAACAGGATTATTATTATATAAGGTTGCTTTTTTATTCATATAAGGTTGCTTTCATGTTTTATTTCTAGTTTGAGAAATTCATTATTACACAGTGCAGAAGTTCTGCCCATTAAGCTTAGAGTTGCCGACCTTTTGCGCAACACGTCCAGCGCAGAATACTCACATTCCCCAGACAGATTTTACGAGCATCATGACAGAAAGAATCTCGCTGAACAGAAAAATAATCGCTTTAATTATCCATCTTCATCTCAATCTTCTATGACCGCTTCTCCTTTCCGGTCGAAAGGCACACGCCTCCTGCACCGCTTCCGACGTTCACGATCTTCTGCGGGTGTCTTAGTTACGGAAGAAGACAACCGGAACCAAGAGCACCACTCCCTGCATCTGGACAAGAAAAGACTCCTTTGCCTTCCTTTCTGGAGGCATTCTCAAAACCTAATCAAACCGTCGCTACTGTGGCTTCTTAATCTGAAGAAGAAGGGCGATACAATGAGGTTCTCGCGGATGTCTGTATTCCGAACCACATCCAGACGCGTAAGACCAGCGACTCGTCTCAGAAAGCAGCTTGTACCTGGTTCGAAGCTTTTCAGTGATGGTCTACGATTCATGACCGTAGGTAAGCATGGGGATAGAGATCCACTTGAATATTCAGAGCTTAGTTTTCAGACTGAGCTCTGCTTTCGTCACAATGGGTGGGGCTAGTTCATGCAGAACGTTGCTGGCTACTCCAATTCGCCGGTCGATCTCTTTCTCCAGTACAGTAGTAAAGTACAGTTTCTTTCTAGTAAATACAGTTCCGAGGTACTTGAACTTCTCCACCTGCTCCACTGTCCATCCGTTAATATGAAGAGAGCAACGGGCAGGAGAAGGAGAACCCAATAGGCTTTTCGTTTTACATGCGTTCACACGCATGCCGGTCACGTCGCACTCGGCTGCGAACCTTTCTAAG